ACAGGGCAAGAAGTCACCCTCAAAACTAGAGAGACAAACAGGTGAATACAGAGAATCACAACTTACCTGAGCAGAAACCCACCAGCAGTAAACTCCAGGGAAACCAGTACAGGGTAGGAAAATCAGAACTGTAACTGATGAACTGCTGGAGGCTCAGTGTGAACATCTGAGAGTTAAAAATTCCAGGGGGCCTTGTCTTTGGAGGATACACCCACACTTTTGTGAATTTTACCTCCAGGAGCTCTTCCAAGTTTTCTCAGTGAAGATCAGAGAAAAATCTCTTCATACATCCATCAGGGAGAGTGGAAAAGTAATCATTTTGAAATATGCCAGAATATTCTATTCTTCTTGAGGCCTGCCCTCAAGAGAAACTACTTTACCAGGTCCTAACCTATTGGAGTTTTATCAGAGCTTAACCAACCAGAGGGAAGGGAAATACCCAATCCCAGTTCCCTCTAGCTATCATGTTCCACCTAAGCAGGGTAAAAACTGAGAAGCATTTGTGAAGTTCACAGCACAGGGGCAGACGCTCACTAAGACTGAGACCTAATCACAGGGCTGTACAATGCTTCCTCACCTGCACACCTTAACACCACACCACTAAAGCTATTTACCATAGTTTCTTTCACCCAGTACATTATGTTCAATTTTCAACAAAAACATTATAAGGTATGCTATAAAGCAAAACTCACAATTTGAAGAGACAGAGTGAGCATCAGAGCCAGACTCAGCTATGACAGAGATGTTGGAATCATCAGGACAGGAACTTAAAACAACTATGATTAATATGCTAAGGTCTGCAAAGGAAAAAGTAGACAACATGCAAGAACAAATGGGTAATGTAAACATAGAGATGAAAATTCTAAGAAAGAATAAATAAGAATTGCTAGAGATAAAAAAAACAAACACTGCAAGAGAAATGAGGAATGCCTTTGATGGGCTCATTAATAAACTGGACATAGTTGAGGAAAGAATCTCTGAGCTTGAGGATAGGTCAATAGAAACTTCCAGAACTGAAAAGCAAAGAGAAAAAAGACTGAAAAATAAATGGAACATAATATCCCAGAACTGTGGACAACTACAAAAGTATAACATTTAGGTAATGGGAATACCAGAAGAATAAAGAGAGAAAGGAATGGAAGATATATTTGAAACAATAATGACTGACAATTTCCTCAGTTAATGTCAGACACCAATAATGTTAGACCAATTCTTTAAAATCTCTTCCAGACATATAGAAGAAGAGAAAATACTTCCTAACTCATTGTATGAGAGCAGCATTGCCCTAAGTCTGAAACCAAACAAAAACATTACAAAAAAAAAGAAAGCTACAGACCAATACCTCTCATGAACATGGATGTAAAAATCTTCAACAAAAGATTAGTAAATGGAATCCACCGATGTATAAAAAGGATTTTATGCCACAACCAAGATTTACCCCAGGAATGCCAGGCTGGTTCAACATTTGAAAATCAATTCATGCAATCCATCATATCAACAGGATAAAGAAGAAAAATCACATGATAACATCAATAGATGCAGGAAAAAATCTGACAAAATCCAACACCCACTCACGATTTAAAACAAAAAACAAACAAACAAAAAAACACTCATGAAACTAGGAATAGAGGGGAACTTTTGCTAAAGAGCATCTACAAAACACCTACAGATAACATTATACTTAATGGTAAGAAACAGCTATAGAGTAACAAAAATAAGAATTACATCTGACCGTTCCTCAGAAACCATGCAAACAAGAAGAGAGTGAAGTGAAATACTTAAAGTCTTAAGAGAAAAATCCCACCAACCTAGAATTCGGTACCTTGCAAAATTACCCCCCAAAAGTAAAAGTCTGCTGCTTTTACTTTTGGTCTCCACTATGCCCTAGCACCAGCCCAGAGGAACAAGAAGAAAGAGAAGCAAAATGTCTGAAACTATCGCTGTCAAATAGTTCTACGTTTTACAGACGATGAAACTAAGGTGAACAGGGGTTGAGTAATTAGCTCAGGTTCTCATAGCTACTAAATGCTGGAGGTAGCCTTTGAACCCAGGGATTTTGAACTCCAAAGTTTGTGTTCTTAATCTCATGCCATTGAGATGAACTTTATATATTGAAAGACATGTGATGACATAAATAATTGCCTAAATGTTCCAAATCTACCATGAAAAAAAGTCATTTTGGTTCATTACTGCTCACTGTATAATTAACTGCAATTAAACATAAAATAGGGTTTATTTCTGTATAAACCAACTTATGCCTAATAATACAAACTTCCATGTGGGAAGTTTCTATGTAGGAAGAGTATTTCTCCCAATTCTCACCAACTTAATGAAACTTTCTGTGATCAGGCCCGAATATCAGGCAGTGACATTTTAAAGTGATACTTTAAAGTGATGCCATTTATACATTAGTTATGTATTCCGCAGTACATAAATTGTCCAGCCGTTAGTGATATTAATATTTCTTCATCATTACCTTTCCAACATCGGTCCAAAGCTTTTTTTTTTAAGTTGTATTTTATTTTTAATTGATGCACAGTGATTGTAGATATTTATGAGGTACGGTGTGATGTATCGATACATGTATACTTTGGGGTAATGAGCAAATCAGGGTATTTAGCATGTTAATCACCTTAAACATTTATCATTTCTTTGTGGTGAAACATTCGAAATCCTTTCTTCTAGCTATTTTTAAATATGCAATACAATATTGTTAACTATATAGTTACTCTACTGCGGAAGAATTCCCCTCTCCAAATTCAAGCGTTTCCCAATTTTGATGTTTTGCAGATTTCAAAACTCTTACTCTTTTACTTTCTGGTTATTCAGTGCTGTCCTTCATTCCACGTACTGAAATTTGCCATTTCTGCGACGGGATAGTTGATCGGATGTGAATAGCCTCCCAAATGCAGTCACTTCGCATTTTTCCAAGTGCTTCCACAAGTTCATTCGCTTCATATACAGTTCTGTCTACCTAATATGAAGGTCCTACAGATTAGATGTAAATGCATGTAAAGCACTTGGCACTACCCTCACTTACAGCCAGTGCTCAATAAACGTTAACCATCATTGTAACTGTTATCATTTCTAGGCCGTGGAGAAGCTAAGGCCCTGAAAGATGAGGTGATTCCTCTGAGATGATGTGTGCACCGTTGGTAGTAAAAACTAGGTTGACTTCTAAAGCAGTTCATGTTTCTGTTAGGGTTTTGCATCACTAAAACTGTAGGGCCCGCCAGGGCTGGACCCCACCACCTCCACTTCACGTTGGTGACCAGACTCTGGGAATCAAAAAAGGGTTTTTTTGGATGGTTACCCAGGAAATTATCCCCTTTCTAACTCGGGCAATTGACTTTACAGAGCAAATTGGCCCCGTTTAAGGATCCTTGGCTTCTGAAATCCGAAATGAAGTGGGTTCTTTTAAGGGGAGCTTTATTTTGAGGATCACCAAGAGCTTCAAAAACTCCTGGGGTGAAGCCCTCGGGACCCGCACGGCGAGACAGGGCACAGCCCAGCGCCTCAGGTGCCCTAACAGACGGCAGGGTGGAGGGGACTTCCCGGCCCACAGCCGGACCCCGCACCCGGACCGCACCCCCGGGCCGGGGCCGGGGCGGCCGCGGAGCCAGGCCGGGC